AAATTTCCCTCTCTCTCCCCCGACGGGGGAGAGACAGAGAGAGAGAGAGGGAAATTTCCCTCTCTCTCTGTCTCTCTCTTAAGAGAGAGAGAGAGAGAGAGAGAGACAGAGAGAGAGAGAGAGAGAGCACCTTTCCCCGTTCGGGGAACGGGTTCGTAGCTTGAGGGAACTCCATCCACGTCCTCATTACGTCAAAGGGAAGCCCCTTTCCTTTGTCCCTTCCCCGGCGGGGGGGGGTCCCCGGCGGGGGGGGGGGAAGGGGTGGTCAGATTCGCATCGCCTCTGGGAGTCCTCCTCTCCCACGTCGGTCCTCCTTCTCTGGCGCGAAGATCCTCTTCGGGTCCTCCTCTCCAGGTGGGGAGAAGCCCCAGGGGGGGGAAGGGGCGTCAGATACGTGTCCGTCCCTGGGGGTCCCCCTCCCGCCCCCCTTCCCTCTCTCACGCCGGTCCTCCTCTGGTCCTCCTCCCCAGGGGGGGGGGTACCAGGGGTGTCGTCCTCTCGACCTCTTCGACTCCTACGCCTTCCTCAGCCTCCTCCCTCCTCTCCGCATCTCCTCCTCCCTCACTCCTCCTCTGCCAACCTCCTCATACAACCTCCTTCCCCATCCTCCTCCTCCCTCCTCCTCCGCCTCTCCTCCTACCTCCCTCCTCCTCCATCCTCCGCCTCCTCTCCTTCCATCCCCTCCTACTCCGAAGCCACCTCCCTCCTCCTCCTAATCCCTAATCCGCCTCCTCATCATCCTCCTCCTCCTCCCCTCCTCCTCCTTCCTCGCCTCCTCCTCCTCTCTCCTCCTCCTCCTCCTCCCTCCTCCTCCTCCTCCTCCTCCTCCCCTACTCCTCCTCCTCACTCCTCCTCCTCCTCCTCCTCCTCCTCCTCCCCCTCTTGGTCGTCGTCGATGTCTTTCAGTGTCGGCGGCACCGGCCGTCAGGCCTTCACAATAGACACAAGCTCCAAAACTCTGCACATTTTCGCATATTTTCTGGATTTCCGTCCTCCCCCAATCCCAATTCGGGGATCCTCTGACCCGGGTCAATCCAGACCCGGGTCAGCAGGAAACCAAAAACTGCAATGCAGGAAAAAAAAACTGCAACGCAGATCCTCGCAAACCCGGGTCAGCCAATATGTGCGGCCGCCTCGCGGCCACGAGCGGCTCCCAAACCCGGGTCAGCCAGAGGGGGTCTTCGCAGGATCCTGCAAGATCTGGCGCCCTGGCTGACCCCCGTTTGCACGGACCCCCGTCTCGAGGCTCCCGACCAATACTCTTCAATATTTTCCGGGAGATCGACGCTTGACTGTGCCTGTGTGTGTTTTTCTCCCTCCTGACTTACTCCCCAATAGGGGGCCACATGCGAACCCTACCCCTACCTCCCACGGTTTCTGAGTGGGAGGGTGGGGTTCACTCCGTTCGGGAGCTCCCGAGCGAAGTGAACCCCACCCTCCCCCTCAGAAATCGGGGGGGGGGGGGGGTAGGGGTAAGGCTCGCGTTTTTCTCCCCACATTTTCGCATACTTTCTAGCTTTCCGTCCTCCCCCCAATCCCAATACTCTCCAATCTTTTCCGCGGGATCGACGATTCACTGTGCCTGTGTGTGTTCTTCTCCCCCTTCCTGCCTTCATCCCCAACGACCCCCGGGCGTGGAGGGCCTCGCGGGCCTCCGGCACGGGGAGGCCTCCGCCACCTATGTGAAGCCAGGCAGCGAGGCGGGAGCTCCCGAGCGAAGCGAACCCCACCCTCCCCCTCAGAAATCGTGGGGGGTAGGGATAGGGTTCGTGTTTTTCTCCCCCTTCCTGCCTTCATGCCCAACGACCCCCGGGCGTGGAGGGCCTCGCGGGCCTCCCGGCACGGGGAGGGAGGACGAGGAGGAGAAGGAGGAAGAGGAGGAGGAAGGAAGAGCAGGAGGAGGAGGAGGAGGAGGAGGAGGAGGAGGAGGAGGAGGAAAGGAAGAGCAGAGATGAGGAGGAGGATGAGGAGAGGAAGGAGGAGAGAAGAGGAGGAGGAGGAGGAGGAGGAGGGCGAGGGCTCCGCACCTGAGTGGAACCAGGCAGCGAGGCGGAGCCCGACGCGGGCCGAGAGGAGAGGTCGAGCGTCGACCCCTGGAGCTGGGGGGGGGACCTTCCCCCCCTTCCTTCCCACCCCCCCTCCCTCCACCCTCCCCCCCCCTCCCCTCCTCCCCTCCTCCCCCTCCCCCTCCTCCTCCCTCCCCACCTCCTCCCTCCTCCTCCACCCTCCTCCACCTCCTCTCCTCCTCTCCTCCTCTCACTCCTCCTCCTCCCTCCTCCTCCTCCTCCTCCTCCTCCTCCCTCCTCCTCCCTCCACCTCCCCCTCCTCTCCCCCTCCCCTCCTCCTCCTCCTCCTCCTCCTCCTCCTCCGGCTTTCAGCGGTTCGACCCGGCCTTTGCTGCCCGATCCGCGTCGCGAGGGCAGCAGCGCTTAGGGGACAGCCGGCGGGCCTCGCCCTCGCAGTGCGCATTTCCCCTGGGATAGTGTAAATTCATATTTAATGTGGGATGGCGATGAAGGAAAAAAGGAAGGGGGAACGATTAAAAAAATAGTTTCCCACACCGGGGGGGAACGCTCAGAAGCATGGCTCGCCTGTGCGGTGTTTTGTCACCGGGGGGGGGCGCGCGCCCGAGGACGGCGGGGGGGGGGGGGGGACGATTCAAAAAATAGTAGTTTCCCAGCCCGGGGTCGGTTTTTTCTAATCATCATCCCGGGCGCCGCCGCGTGAACACGACCCCCGGTCATTTCTTAATCATCATCCTCCATTCGGATGGACATGTGGTCAGAGGCATATATGATTTACATACCCGAAAAAAGGGGGCGGATCACGCGGGGGGGGGAAGTGTAGAGCCTATTCTCTTTTTAGACAGGAGACTCTATATTGTCAACCGACGCCGTGTGTTCGTTGTGCAATCGATGCGGTGGGATTAATTCCAGTCCGCAGCAAATTGTCAACTCCACTGCTCGCGCAACCACCCCACCCACCCGCCCGCAAGTTGGCTTGCAAAACCCATGGGGCGGCGATTCCCATGAATGTTTGGCGTTGGCTGGTGCATCTCTGCGGCCGCGCTGGCCCGCGCATGCTCGGGGGCGAAGCGGCCAGCTAGTTTGGCGCGACCGGCGCGGCCGCGGTGGCGCCCACCGCTGGGCACTCCCCGAGGGCACGTCAGAGCGAATCGGCGCCTCGGGCGAGCGCGGTGTCATGGCAACGTCGGCAACGGTAGACACGATGATGGTACAGTCATCGGCCTGACCCGAGGAACGATAAATAAGGAACGAAGCCCCTTGTTGTTCCAAGGGAGTCTACGAAGTCCGAAGGAACACCAGGGGGGCTCGCCGCCGAAAAGGTAGCAGAACGCATGCAAACCTAAGGAACGACCGAGCCCCTTTTGAGAAGGAAGTGTTCCTCATTCAAGCCGCTCACTGTAGTAGCGATGCTGGTGACGGTGATGACAACGACGACGGCCAGGCCAGCGACGGCGCCGATGCTGATCACGCCGACGACGATGACGTCGTTCTCGCGCCGGTGACGACGATGTCGGCGCCCTCTCGCGCGAGCGTGGCCCGCATACTATTGATGGGTACGGACCGTGTCCCGCCAGCGCGCGCGCAAGGGCGCCCGAGTGATTGCGGCATGCGGCGCGGGAGGCCCGTGGCCGCATGTCATTGAGATGCGAAAAAAAACGGTGGCTGCCTTGAGAATGAATTCGCAGGGGCGCGAACGCACGCATTTTTGAAAACGGACGTTGCAAAATCAGTGGAAAACATGTTTTTCGGGACACTCGATTTTGAATCCCTGACACTCGATTTTGAAATCCCTAGGACACCTCAAGTGTTCGAAGGATTGCCGCATGCACCCGCGACGACCGCGCGCGTGTGTACATCGTCCCGTTCTTTGCAAAGGACTCTCGCGACAGCACGCGCGCAAGGGTGTTCGAGCGATTTCGGCATGCTTCGCGCGAGAACCATGCTTGGTAGCATGTTGATGGCCATGTTGAAACACCGATGGTATTCTTAAGAATCAGCAAGAGCGCGAGCGCAGGCTTGTTTGAGCATGTTTTGCGAAACTAGATGTTTATATGTTTCAGGGGCGCTTAAATATTGCGGCATGCGCGCGCGACGGCGCGCGCGCACTTCGTCCCATTTATTGAACGGACTCTTTAAAATAAATGATGGGTTGTGATTAGCGAGTGTGCGCACATACCTATTTTTGCAAAGGATGCCTGGGATGATACACATTCACACTAAGGATGGGCGATGCGGCAAATTTTTATGCACATTGCAATGCGAAGAGGGGTTCCCTTAAGTCCGGGTGGGTTGAGGTAGATCCTATTAATTCTTTTAGAACGGAAAACCAACGTTGTGCAATCCACTGTGTGGAATCTATGTGGATCAGTATAAATAGTGCAATATATGTGGTGACACCTATGCTGTGCAATCTACTGGTATGTAAAGCAAGACACCGCAACGCACGTCAATGTTAAGCTGAGCTAAGCAACGCGTTGCAAAACAATGCAACGCAACGCAATGCAATGCATAACAACGCGGAGCCATACAAAGTTACGCATAATAATGAAAAGCACCGCGTCGCAATAACAAGTAATGCGGCCCAAACCAATGAGCCAAGCAACGCAATGCAACGCAATGTAAAGCAACACGTAGAAAGCAACGCAACGCAAGCAGTGCGAAGCAACGCACATGTGACGCACTGCGATGCAGTGAAAGGCAGGGCAAAGCAAACCAAAGCAATGACAAGCACGGCGTAGCAGTGCAAAGCAATGCAAAACAGTGCAATGCAAAGCACGACGTAGCAATGCAACGCAATGCGAAGCAATGCAGGCCCAGACGACGGGCGGCGACAAGGCGGCGACGGAGCGGCGTTGCCGACAGCATAGCCGCAAGACCGACCCGCAGACCTAGACGAAGGGCGGCGACAAGGCGGCGACGGGGCGGCGACGGCGACAACATAGCCGCCAGCAGACCCGCAAGCCTAGACGACGGGCGGCGACGAGGCGGCGACGGGGGCGGCGACGACAACATAGCCGCCAGGCCGACCCGCAGGTCCAACTCCCTTAGACACACACGTAAGAATCCCGAAGTGCAAACACAGTTTGAGGAATCTTACAAGATCTCACTGTTTGGGGTCTACGCTGGCTGACGTATATGTATAGATGTATAAGTTTACAAAGTTTGATCTCTCTCTATATATATATGTGTATATAAACATATATGTATACACATGTATATGTATCTTATTCATATATCATAGATTTGCCGCTGGACCCGCAATTGACCCACACCCACTGCATGTGTGCATGTGTCGCTTGTTGGTCCGTGTCTACGTGAGTATGCGTATGTGTGGGTCTCTGTGTGTAAGGTGTCTGTGGGTATGTCGTCTGTATGCGCAGTGTGTCTGTGCAACATGTGCGTGTGTGTGTGTGTGTGTGTGCGTGTGTGTGCATGTGTGTGTGTGTGCGTGCGTGTGTGTGTGTGTGTGTGCGTGTGTGTGTGTGTGTGTGTGTGTGTGTGTGTGCGTGTGTACGGTGGCGTGTCCTGACCGGGACTCCGAAGCGACTCGGGCCGCGCGGAGGGCACGTGCACTTCACGCCGGGGAGAACTGCGCGCTCCCGGTCGTACCGTGGAGCCTCGGAGGCGGGCCCCCTCTCTTGGCCCTCCTCCTCCTCCTCCTCCGCCGCCTCCTCCTCCTCCTCCTCGTGCACGGAGCGGTCGGTGCAGCAGCTGCTTCGGCTCCTCCTCCTCCCCACTGCTCCCCCTCTCCCCCCCCCCCTCTCCCCCAATGGTGCGCGACCCGCGGGCTGCTCCGCGCGCTCGCCGCAGGCCCGCCCTGCCCCGCCGCGAGAGGCGGCGGCAGGGCCCCGGCATCTCGTGCCGCTTGCGCTCGAAGGCTCCCCCCCCTCCCCCCTTCTCCCCCGACCCTTCGCCCCCTCCTCCCTTCTCCCCCCTTCCTCCCTTCACCCCCTCCCCCTCCTCCCCTTCTCCCCCCTCCCTTCTCCCCCCCTCCCTTCACCCCCTCCCTTCGCACCCTTCTCCCCCCTTCCCGCGGGCCAGGACGCTGCCTTCGCACGGGGCTGAGCGAGGCTGCGTAGCGGACTTCGGGGGCGTCCAGGACGGGGGCGTCCAAGAGGGGAGGGCGCAAATCATGGCCGGCGGCATGGGCGCGGCCCAGGGGGGGCCAGGTACGTATCGAAATGAGAAGAGGCGCCATGAAATCTGGGGAGATATCATGGCCCCCACCATGATGTCCACACACACCCAGTCATCACCCCCCTTTTTGCCGCCCCCGAAGACTGGCCCAGCGAGAGCTCGGGCCGAAGCCCCGTCCTCTACGAACATCGATATCATGGAGCACTCCTCCTCCTCGGCGTCCAGGTACTCCACCAAGCCGTTTCGCATCAGGTCGCCCCAGGCCCACTCTCCGTCCTTCACCTTTTTGACGTGCGAGTAGTTGATCAGGGTCTTCTGTGCCTGACGCACGGGGGGGGCGTTGTCTAGATCGAGCTTCGGCGGTGGACAACCCTCCCTTTAGTAAACCTCCATTTAGTGAAAACGGCCTAAGACCGAAACCGACGGACCTGGACCCGAAAAAAATGACGGCCGCGGCGCCCTCTCGCGAGGGTCAGGGTAGGAGGTCTACCAACCTGCGAGAGCTTTGAGCCTCACGTGCCCACGCTGGAAACAGCAACATCTCATGCCGTGCGCCGCTGCGGAAGGTCGACCGACAGAGCAGCTTGCCACCGTCGCCGCCAAGCTGCTGGAACATCCGTCGCCAGAGGATTCCGCTGGTGGTCCGCACTGACACAAATCTCAACCCCTCGTTGTGGTGCCAGGCGACTTCGGCAACCGCGAACCAAAATACGTTTTCATCCCTTAGGGGCGCATCTATCTTTTGCTTCCGCCGCCTTCGCCATTCTTCCGCTTTCTTCCGCCGTCCATGCTTTACTTTCGCCGACCTTCCGCCTACTTCCGCCGCGGAAGAGATGACAACTCCTTCTATCCTCGAAGGCGAGGCCCTTTTTGGAGCACCCCTATGTGATGGGCCTTGAAAAGATTTCAACACCAGCGCTGCAATCCATATGGCCATGTTTGCAGACTTCTGTTGGAGAGAGGTCCCTCGTTCCCAATGGTCTCTGCTGGGCCCAGACTTGGACCCCGTGCTCCCCGCTAGCGACATGCGCATGTCCAAACGACGAGTAAGATCTGAGCTAGTTTCTTCCCCGATGGCATATTCTCAAACATTATACGGCTCCTTGCCAACCAATCGTCTCACATTTTCTCCACCATGCTTTACAAAACGAACAGGTTCTGTTCAAGTCCCGCGGGCCAAGGCCTCGTAGTCTACAATGTACAGCGGTCGGGTGGCTCTGCCACAATCTGTCGCGATCCTGATCTCCTTATTCTTGAGGTCCTGCTGGATTGAGACCTCTGAATCGATATCCTTTCTTCGCCTGCAGTGTTGCAGGGCACATTAGCAGGATGCACAACAATGCGGTTCGAAATACAGAACTGAACGATACAGCACGCAGACACATGAAAAACAATGATGCCGCACTCTTTGAAACAAATCGATCGAATCACTCGTTGCCACGTTACTCCAATACGACTCGACGAATGCAGGTGCCAATCGCAACTGCAGGGAAGCTGGAGCACACGGAAATTTAGACGTCTTCACACGTGCAAGTGGCCACGGTTGGAAAAACTGGTAGGGCTGCAGCGAAGCCGAAACAGATGGCATCCAGCACAGGCAGCACATCGACATCATGACGTCGTTTCGTCGTCGCCCCCCTGCTCCTCCCTCCTACCAACCCGCGGAGCGAACATGGCAATGCCGGACTGCGCCAGCCACGGCCGCAAACAGGCAGGTTTCAGCAGCGTGGGAGAAATGGGATGAGGAGAGCGAGGAGGAAGAGGGCAGTCCCACACCTTGATGACTACAGAACGCAAGGTGGACATACAAGACGAGGAGTCTGAGGGAGGACAATAATTGAGGGGGAGGAGGGTATGGTCTCACCGCAGGGAGAGCGAAAACGAAGTGACATCAACCAGCATACCGGTTTCGGTTACAGTTCGCGCGTGCGGGCGACGCCAAACTGCGCGAGGGCGATGCTGTGTCGGCCAAAGATCGGGCAAACACTGGACAACAAAATTCTGCCGTCTGCCTCGCGGGGGGGCGTTGGGCTGCCCCGGGAGTTGTTCCGCGCTTGTCCCGGGCTGTCCCGTGAGTTGTTCCGCGCTTGTCCCGTGGGGCTGTCCCACAAATCCCTCTCGGGCCCGGCGAAAGGGGGGGATAGCCAAGGGGGGGTTTCAGAATCAGCTCACGTAGCTGATTTTCCCGGCGCCTCCCGGCGCCGGGAGGCGCCCATGTATCGAGGGCGGCGGGGCCGAGACCAGCGGCATGCACCAGATTTCGTACCCCCCCCCTTTCCCAATCCCCCCCTTTCGTCCGGCCCGACTGTCCACAATTTCCTCCATGGTTGCCCCGTGGATTGCCTTGTACAGCCATCGGCCTGACCTAAGGAACGAGAAATAAGGAACGAAGCCCCTTTGTTTTCCCAGGAACAATGCATAAGGAACGATAAATAATGAAAACGCATACGGAACGATGGATAACGCATGCAAGCCTAGGGAACGACCGAGCCCCTTTGAAAAGCAAGTGTTCCTTACTCAAGCCGCTCACTGTAGGTTGTCCCGCGGGCTGTCCCGAGATTGTCCGGCGGGTGGCCCCTCGGTCGTCCCGTCGCCTGCCGGGAAGTGCAGCTCGAGACGCGCATCCAGTGTCAAACGAGGTGCACACCGGAATGCAAATACAGCGGCAACCGAAACGCATATCGGAGCGCAAAACGCATGGCAATCGACATGCGTGTAGAAATGCGCATCAAACTGCAAACCCACTTACAATCACATTGCACATCGACATCGACATCGAGTTGCACTCGACATAGACTACGACATGCGCGCCTAAATGGATAATGGCATGCAATCTGAACTGCAGATCGACATGCACATCGAACCGCACATCGAAATGTACGACGAACGGGAATTCGAACGGCAAGTCCGAATGCAGATCAAACTGCACTCGGCATGCACATCGAGATGCACTGCACACCGACATGCGATCGACACTCGAATCGAGCTGCAATTCCGCCTGCAATCGAAGTGCAGGTCGACACGGGCATCGACATGCAAGTTCCACATCCCCCCATCGTCCTTCTCAGCCGAAATGTGATCTGCGAAGTATCAGTATGCATCCCGACGTCGCAGGTGCATCAATTGCATCGCTGAGGCATCAACGCCGCGGTGCGCTCCTCTGGCCCCCCCTGCTCGGGCCCTATTTAGAAGGCCTCCCCTCGGTGGCTCAAAGATGGGGCTCTGAGGGAAGGGGTCCTGAGGCTAGGAAGGGGTCTAAGGGTACATTTGTACATGCTTCGAACCGCCCTGTCCTTGAAACCCCATCCCTCAGGACCCCCTCTTTGAACCGCCGATCCCCGAATGGAGCGGGAGTCCCATGGGGGGAGGGGGGGCGCGGGGCTACAACCACTCACCGGTCGGAAACAATAGGTAGAAACATGAAGTAGAAAAGCGCTGCAACGAGATTGGGTTCCGTGCGCCCCCCGAAGGAGGACGGACAAGGTGAAGCCACTCGATCCTTGAAGTAGGAAGGCAGAGTGGAACCTGGGACTCCCCACATACCTACCTTCCACGGCCGATAGGCATCGCGCTCCCATGGCGCGCTGACAAACAACAGCGACAATTTTTGGGGGGTTGTGGGCATCGCGCTCCTATGGAGCGCTGAAGAAACAAAACTTGAACAGGGACCGACCGTCCCGGCATTCCTATAGTCCTACCACGAAATGTTCTTAGAGCCCAAAAATGTTCTAAGAGCAAAAACAATGTTCGTAGAACATAAGCCCGATGTGTTAAACCAAGACGGGCTCGGCCAGGAATGTTCTAAGAACATGCCGCGGACACCACAAACGGTTCCCAGAACACTGTCTGGCAGGGCTGTAGGCGAGCCAGGACGCTTCGCCGCTGCTTGAAGGACGGGCCGAGGAGGCAGGGATGCAAGGGCACCCCTCTCGGAGGCCGAGGAGGCACTTCGTGGACACCACAGACGGTTCCTAGAACACTGTCTGGCAGGGCTGTAGGCGAGCCAGGACGCTTCGCCGCTGCTTGAATTGTGGGCATCGCGCTCCCGTGGAGCGCTGCAGACACAAAAACACAGACAAAGCAAATTCCGTAACCCCCCCATTCCCAATCCCCCCCTTTCGTCCGGCCCGATGGATTGTGGGCAGCGCGCTCCCGTGGAGCGCTGCAGAAACAAAACACGCACACACACACAACGGCGAACGGCGGGCTTTCCCCTGCTGCTCCCGGCCGCGGCGCGCCCTGGCCTCCCCGCGGCGGGGCGCCCCAGGGGCCGACTAAGCCTCCTGCTCGGGCTCCTCCTCGACCTCCTCTCCTCCTCGACCTCCTCTCCTCCTCCTCTCCTCCTCCTCCCTGCTCCTCTCCTCCTCCTCCTCCTCCTCCTCAACCTCCTCCTCCTCCTCCTCCTCCTCTTCCTCCTCCTCCTCCTCCTCCTGCTCCTCCTCCTCCTCCTCCTCCTCCTCCGGCCGCGGCGCGCCCCCCTCTGCAGGCGTCTCTCTCTCTCTCTCTCGGCCACGGCCGGGCTCCTCCCCCCCCCCGACCGACCCCCGAGGCGTCCGCGGCGCGGCCGGCCCGAGCACCAGAGCCCCGCCCGAGGCCACGGTTGTCGGGAGCGGCCAAGAGGGGGGTGTCCAAGAGGGGGGGGTGCAAATCATGAGCGGCGGCATGTGCGCGGCCCACCTGGGGGCCGGGAACGTAATGAGACAAGAAGAGGCGCCACGAGATCTGGGGAAATATCATGGCTCCCGCCATGATATCCCCCCCCCCCTAGTCATCACCCCCCTCTTTTCCGCCCCCGAGGGGTCGGGCACCCTTTGCGGGCCCCGGAAACAGGGCCGTGTTTTCACCGTTTCCAAAAGAATGCCCTTGAAAATGGAAACGGCAAAAAAGGCGACCGGAAACGGCAAATAAGGGCACGTCCTCCCGCAGACGGGTTTCTTTCGGCGATGGACAGGCCTCCCTTTGGTAAAACGTGGTTTCGTGAAAACGACCTCGGGCCCAAACTGGGCGGGCGCAAGCCTGGAAAATAACGGCCGCGGCGCCCTCTCGAGAGCCGAAAACGGACAATTCACGAATCGACGTGTCACTGTCGGGGGTTCTGTCTGCCCCCGATTCTTGTAGGACACATGGGACATGTTAGATCGGGGATGGACAGCATCCCCTTTATGAAGGGGCCCTGTGGGACACTCAAAGACATGCACACAAATGACCGGGTTCCCCATATTTTCCCATGTCTTCTGGGGTTTTGTCTTCCCCCCCACTTCCCATATTTTCCAATATTATCTGGGGAATCGTCGATTAATTGTGTCTGTGTGTTTTTTCCTTCCTGACTTTCGTAAAATGTAGTTTTGTGAAAACGACCTCGGGCCCAAACTTGGCGGGCGCAAGCCTGGAAAATCACGGCCGCGACGCCCTCTCGAGAGCCGAAAACGGACAATTCACGAATCGACGTGTCAGGGTGGGGCTTCTGTCTACCCCCGATGAGGACGAGCCAAAAATAGTCGAAACATCGTCCCCCGATTTTTTGTTGTGACTATCTTTGGATGTTCCTCCTGTAGAAGGCCGCGCCCGACTCGGACCCAGGGTGGCCCTCACTGCTCGGCACGGCGCCGTCCGTGTTCGTGGGTCTGCGATGTGCGGACCGACCCGCCGAACCACCCGTTCGGCCCCCGCCCCCTGTTTTTGGGCGCGCTGCGTCGGCCGGCCGGCTGGCCTGAGGGAGAGGAGCGTGTTTCTCAGCTGGGCTGGCTTCTCGTGCATGCCCACCCAGATCCCGTTGAGGAAAACCTGGCGCGCCACTTCCGGCCTCTGTGCTCGCAGCGGCACCCGCTTCGCAGACATGCCAACCTGCTACCCGAGGAGGGGAGAAGAGGAGTGGGGAAAAGGGAAGATGCGAGGGGCCCTCTTGCTGTTCCACAACACCAGGATGGCAGTGGACCTAATGGTTTTATGTATATATGTATATCTGTGTATAGATATAGATATACCTATACGACCACCCTGCGTGTGATAAGGAGGTTGGGGGGGAGGGGCCCAGCAATGGGCAACACTGGTGATTGTTGTTCTGACGATGCCAACATACAGCACGGCATGACGATGCAGCGCGGCACAGGGCCCCGGGAACGATTCAAGAGTTCCCAAGGGAGCCTGAACCAACGAAATGAAAGATTTCTTCGTTCATTTGCAAGGGCCGGGCACTTATACGACCACCCTTCGGGTGATACGGAGGTGAGGGGGGGGCCAACGTCGCACTCGATCGATCTCAGTATCGATCTCAGTATCGATCTCACTCGATCGATCTCACTCGATCAATCTCACAATCGATCTCACTATTGATCTCACCATCGTTCTCACTATCGATCTCACTATCGATCTCACGATTGATCTCAATATCGATCTCACGACGGGACACCGAGGGGACACCGCAGGACACCGACGGGACACCGACGGGACACCGGCGGGACATCGGCGGGACACCACGCAGCCCCGAACGCCGGGTCGCCAAACATTTGGTCCGGCCGCGCCTCAGCCACAAGAGACTTTCCTGTCGCCCGCCCGCGCAGCTTCGCCTCGCCCGCACGCTCGGCACGCACGAACACGAAACCGAAATCGATTTCCTGGTATGGGGGGCTCTCCGTTCCACTTCGATCTCACCCCCAACCTCCGATGTATACATATGTTCGAATCTGTTCTTAATGCTCTCATTCACTTGAAATTCCTCCCCCGCTTCTCCCCTTTTCCAATCCTCCGCTGGCGACCCGTGTTTTGTTCCAGGAGCTCTCTCTGCAGCAAAGGGGCGATCAGCTCAAAGCGACGACGTCGCCTCGCTGTTGCCCAGGTTTCCCCCCCCCCGACGCAAGCATCTCGCGTCCAGATGGTCGGCTGCGTCAGCGCCCTCACCTTCCAGCGCTGTTTGCACAAACCCCGCAAGTCGCCACGCGACGCCTTGTCGACGGGACTGTCTGCTGATGCCACCCTCTCCCCCCAGGGGTGCACGCGCCGAGCGCGGCACGGGTCCCACCTGGCGTGGGCGGCCGCGTTGCTGCAGACCTCCTTGGGTGAGCCCTTGGCCGGCGAGAGTTTGGCGGACCCGCTGTCTATGGGATAAACAACCTCGTGCGCTCGCTCAGCAACTCGGGCCACGTCGAATCGTGGGGCCGACGGTCTCGATCGCCTGGATTGCGGTATCCCGGATTCCGTATGCATGCCACCTATGCAACCACTCGTTGGGCACAGCGGCGGCCGTGATCTGCGTTGGAAACTCGACGTTTTTGGGTTTCCGGATGTTTCCAATCACGTGTTGATGGTGATGAACAGTCATTCGCGTAGATTGAACGGCACTTGCGCCCCGCCTGCTCCTGAACTGCCTTCTTGAACAGCTTCGAGGACGACCGGGGGGTCGCAAACAACCCTGCGAAACCCCTTATCGCCAAACTGCCGTCTTCTGAGCGGCACCAAGGCTGCCAGCCCGTGGAGGCCGGACGGGAAGGCCCGCGCCCGAGCGAGGCGCCCTCTGAAAGAACCCACGTCGGCTGTGAACAATCGGGGAGACGCAAGACTCGGGCGCGGGGGACGCGGGTTGGCCTGACGGGACCATCATAAAAATTACGAGACCCAATTTGAAATTTGGCGCGAGCTGCTCCCGCTGCAAACATCCCACGGAAACCAGACCGTCAAAATCCAGGACGCACTCGTCAAAAAGCGTCGGCGAAGACGAGTTCGGGCTTACTCGAGTCTTACGTATTCCCGAAATAAGTGTGCTTTCGTCGACTACTGCTCCAGATCAAGCACGAGCGCATCGGCTCTGCGTCGTGGTCGCCGAGAAACGGGCGGGGGGCAATCGATTGCCATGCCTGCCCCCAGCAGCTGCCTGGCACCCCGTGGCAGCAGGGACTTGTCCATGTCGAATCGCCACCCGATTTTCTTGTGCAGCCGCGCCCAACATGACCGCGCCGAAAGCGCCGCGTTTTCCCCTTCTCTCTTTCAAATTCTCTGCCGACGGCCCCTGTTTTTCCCCGTGGCTCTCTTCGCAGCAAGGTCAGGTCAGAAGCCGTGCATCTGCAAGACGCGCCGGCACAAGATCTGCAAGCCGTGCTCTCTTCGCAGCAAGAAAAAGATCAATGCACCAAGACGCCGTCGCCTCGTTATTGCCCGGGTCCCGCCCCGGCGCGGGGCCCTCGGAAGGCCCCGGCGGCTCGCTGGGCTGGGCCGCCGCGTTCCAGCGCGCGCCCCTTGCTGGGCGGCTCGGTAGCAGCGCCGCTGCGCGGCAAGCTGGTCAGCCGCGGCCAGGTCGGCGCCCGGCAGTCGCAGCGGGCGCAGCCGACCCCGGCCGCCCCCTGGGACGCCGCGCGGGCCCTCCGCGCCGCGCCGGCGCAGCGTGCGCCGGCTGCGGCTGCCTCCGCCGCGCGAGTCCCGGGGCCGCCCAGCGCCGGCGCGCGCGGGGCCGCGCGCTGTCGCCGCGGTTGGCCTTCAGAACGGCCGGGCCCACGGATGCCATTGCGCGCCGCGCTGCCGCGAGCGCGCCCGGCGCACGCGCGCGCGCCCCGGCGCCGGGAGGGGCGCAGGTGGCGGCGAGCGGGCCCCGGCCGCCCGCCCAGTGATCATCTGCGGCCGCATTGCCGGCGTGGTCATCCGGCGAGACCCCCCGCCCGCGGGCCGCTGCGGCGTCCGACTGCGCCTTGGCCCGCCGCGCGCGCAGGGCGCCGCTGCGGCGGTGTGGGCGGCGTGCCCCCGCGGGCTCGCGCGCGCCAACTCCGCGGCGCTCGCCCCGTCGTGGGTGGCCGCCGCGCCGCGGCCGACGCTGCGGTGGTTGGTGACGACGTCGGCCGGCCCTCCGGCCAGACACAAAGCGCGCGTCGCGCCGCGGCGAGTTCCGCCCGCTGGGCAGTCGCGGCGGCGTGCCGCGCCGCGCGAGCCAGCGGCTGTGCCGTCGGCGGGGCACAGCCGGCAACGCGCGTCAAAGCCAACTGGCAACTTGCCCAATCTTGCCAAACCGGCCCCGCGCGACGCGAAGCCGATCCTCGTTGACAGCGCCGACGTCGCGGAACTCCACGGTCGCGGAGACCCCAGGGGTGAGTTCAGATAGCCAGCGGCAGAACACTGCGCGACTGGCGAATTGGCGGAACTTCGTCCCATTCAGCTTCCAGTCCGTGTTCGCCTCGAGCGCCTCCGTGACCTGCGCCGCCTGCCTGAGCTCGTCTGCCGCGTCAACACTGGCCTCGGTGCCTCGGCGGCGATCCGGGCCCGCAGGGCGTGGCCGTCGACGCGCGCCCAGCCGCGGAGGCGGTCGCTCACGCGACCCGCGCGCGCCACCCATGGCCGCGCCAGGACTCCGAGCGCGAACGCCGCCGGGGGGCGGCCCGGCAGCAGGCCGCGCTTGGGCGACCAAGCCGAGCCGATGGCCTTGCCAACCCAAACCTGGCGACTCGCCGAATAGACCGCCAGCGCCAGCCCTGCGACCCATTGCGGCACTCCGCCCGGGCGATCACGACCAAATCTGTGCTCAGGTCAACCTGGTCGTTTGCCTTGCGCCAATCCAGAACTGCGCCCACCATCTCTTCGGAGAGGGCGTCGGCCGCCTCCAACTCCAGGGCGAACTCCCGAGCGAGGTGCTCTGCGCAGCGCCGCCACTCGCTGCCCTCCCATTCGCGCCGTCATTGAGCGAAGAGGCGCGCCTGGCCAGAATCCCAGAGCCTGTGCAGGACGGGCAACAAATAAATGGGTCTGCGCTCCCGGGGGCCCTTGCCGCCGCCTGGTTTCGTCAACAGGCGCGCACGCGCCAAGACGCGGGGACACTGCTCGGAACACTGGCTTACTACTGGCCGCCTCCGCTCGCATGCGCAGCTGGACCATTACCTTCCGGCCGAGCGCACACGTGGGCCGTACCACCCGCGGATTGAGTTTCGGCGTCCGAAGCTTCAGAGCATGGGGCGCCACTTGCACGGGCTCCACACTCCTCATCCAAACTATTACTACCCTTATCGCAACACTCTGGGGCATTACCGCCGCGTCCGAAGCAGCCGACCCTGACTTTGCCATTTTGGTCATTACCGCCGTTGACATCGATATTGCTGGCCTTTATCGGCCGCTTGCTGTTTGAACCACTTCCCGTGTATACGTATGTCCCCTGTGCATGCATTTTTGTTAGCTTGCGCCGCAGAGGCGCGCACTTTGAGCCACGATGGCTTGAGCATAAATGATTTCAGTCTGTGTGTGTGTGTGTGTGTGCGTGAAAATGTTCTCACTCGCGGCCCAAAAATGGCCCCCAAAGCGCGCCACCGCAAGACAGAAAACGCACCTGAAAGGCAGGCCTCCCCGGAAAGGCCCCCGTGAGGCCTCAAGAGGCTCCCAAGGAACTTCCAAAAACCTCTAATGGGGGTCCCCAGGAGGCCGCAAGAGGCTCCCAAGAGGCCCCCAAAAACATCCAAAATGCCTCTTGTCAACGACCCAGGCAAGATTGTAGGAGGGGCCGAGGGACACCAAAGGGAGAGAGAGAGGGAAAAAGAGAGAGAGAGAGAGAGAGAGAGAAGGAGAGAACGAGAAGGAGAGAGAGGGAGAGAGCATGCGCCAAGGCATGGCCCTCAGGGAAAGAACCAGCATTATCTGCATCATCCGTGCGCGCGCGGGCGACCGGTGTGCGAATCTAACGGCAGCTGCTGTTGGGTACGCGCGGGCCGTTCTCTCTCTGACGACGCTGCCTATGAATCGACGGCGAACCGTGGTCCACCTTCAGCAGCAGCACCCATGAAGCCACCGCGAACCGTGGCGAACCGACGGCGAACCGAATCGGCTATGAAATTGGGTGCGCAGCAGCCGTCAACCACGACCACCCCCTCCTCGTCCTGCTCCACCTCCTCCCGCCATCCTCCTCACCTCGTCTGAGACGAGGTGAGGAGGAGGAGGACGAGGAGGAGGAGGAGGCGGAGAAGGAGGAGGAGGAGGAGGAGGAGGAGGAGGAGGAGGAGGAGGAGGAGGAGGAGGAGGAGTGGCGACCCCCCCCCCGTCTCCAGTCCCGACGTCCAGAGAACGAGAGGTGCTCATGCGCGCACTCCCGCGCGCTTTTTTCTGCTCCGACGGCCCCCCCCACCCCGGGTGGTGGTGGTGGTGTCCCTTCGGCTTCCCGCGAAGGGGTGGGGTGGGAGGAGAGCAGCAGGGTTTGGACTGGCGCGGGCCTCGCGGGGGTGCGATACGCAATATTCACTACCCACTACGCACTAATCACTACTCAATACTCACGACTCCCTACTCTCTACTCCCGAGCCACTACTCACTACTCACTGCTCACGACTCACTGCTCGCTACTCCCTACGCGGGTCTGCCAAGTGTAACGATGCTGGAAA